TAAAGGTCTGGTCTTGCTCAACTCTGCACTGGTGCGGCCTCACCTTGAGTACTGTGTGCAGTTTTGGGCACCACAGTATGAAAAGGATCTAAAGCTACTGGAGAGTGTCCAGAGGAGACCACTAAATTGGTGAAGGGCTTAGAGGGGATGCTGTACGAGAAGAGGCTGAAGTCACTTGGTTTGTTCAGCCTGGAGAAGAGGAGACTGAGAGGAGATCTCATTGCGGTCTAGAACTTCTTCACAAGGGGAAGAGGAGGGGTGGGTCCTGGCCTCTTCTCTCTAGTGACCAATGATAGGACCAGGGGAAACAGCAGGAAGATGTGCCAGGGCAAGTTTAGTTTGGACATTAGGAAAAGGTTCTTCACCCAGAGGGTGGTAGAGCGCTGGAATAGGCTCCCCAGGAAGGTGGTCATGGCACCAAGCCTGACAATATTCCAGAAGCATTTGGACAACGTGTACCCTCAGACACATGGTGTGAATCTTGCAGTGGTCCTATGCTAGGGCAAGAGTTGGACTCCTTGTGGGTCCCTTCCAACTCACAACATTCTATGATTCTATGATGCTCTGTCCGTAGTATCCGTTGATCAGCTAAGCCCCATGCTAAGAACTTAGTCTGGTTTTGTTCTGGTTTTTGTACAGGAGAAGGACAGAATCACATCACCAAAGCCACAGTTAGGGTTAATACCTGTTGTGCTTATTCAGATTTCACTCAGGAGATATACCCTTGTGCTTAACTTAACTTGATTGTTGCTGTAACTACTCCTGAAGAGCTCTATCCACATTTTGATAGTGCTGGTCTGTGATACTCGGTTGTGTTTATGCAACTTATCTGTCTAACTTAACTTGATTGTTCCGTTACATAAACCAACCTTTCTTCACACTCCTTCAGCAGACTTGGATCAGTCAACTCTGTCCTGGAATAGAGGCCATCCAGTTCACAGAGGGAAAATAAGCAGTCCTAGATAACAAGCACTCCAGATGACTCTTGAGTTGTTTGCATGTTAATTGAAGCCACTTGGATGTAAAATCAGAGTGGACTGTTTTGGGTCTTGCTTTGCAGCAACATGGTCTAGCAAATAAGCATAGCAGACCTCTTTTTAAACTGACTGCTTCTGTTTTCTATGGAAGAGTAGGTTGATTCTCTCTCTATTCCTCACTTAGCTGATGAACTCATAGCAGGAACATTAATGAAGAGCTATTTATTACAGCAGTGACAAACCAGCTTCTTATAATCTACACTTGCTTGCATTCTTGCTTACATATTTCTTCTGCAGTCTTGGTGACGTGGCAGTCATGGGAATGCCAAAATCTGACTGAGAACCTCTGACATTTTTCTTATTCTCAAAGTGATATTCCTGTTATGTAGTTTGTAGAATAATCCCAGCAGAGGCTTGTAGATTAAAATTTGTGGCTTTAGGTTGCAAGTGTCTTAATCTTAACTGTATTCATTTCATCCCTAGGATTAAATGACAGATTCTCTCATTTGTCCAAAGTCAGTTCTGGTGTCACTAACATCTTGGCAATGCATACTGCAGTGGCAGACCACTGAAAGCAGATTACTGTTCAACTTATAAACAAGCTTCACAAGGACTGAATGGAACCATAGCAAGATCTCTGACATGGTAGAAGCGTGAAGAGAGGAATCAAAACCTGTGACATGGCTTTCAGCTTTGCTTAAATTCCTGAAGCACCATAGCAGACTAAGGGAACACTAAAAAACTACTGTAGGAGCTCTTTAGCCCAAGACCCAGAACTATCTATTAATCTTTCTTCTGCTGTGCCCGTCTCTGATGTCCCAAAAATTGAACCCTGCAAATTCAGATCAAAAGTGGGAGCTAAGAATGGTTTTCCCATAAACATGTTTTAAATAGCAGATAAAAATCTCTTTTAGCTGGACCACAATTTCCCATTGCTTAATGAGACTTAGGGGCAAGGCGAGGACTGAAGCAATCTTACAGCAGGTGGCTGGCACAGTATTATCTAGCTAGGTCTAGAGTGGTCACATCTGAGTTGCGTGTTGTGTTTTAGTTTTCTATTTATTTTAATAATAGATTTATTTTTGCTCAGTCCCTCTTGCAGGGAACTGTGCTGTTCAAATAGCATTATTGCCTGTATTTGAGTTTTGACTTCAGAGGAGAGGTTTGCAGAACCAAAATCCTTTCAGGTGTTAAATGCCATGTTGACCTGTAAAACAACAAAACAAAAAAAGCTATTCCTCACTTGTATCCAGTTTGTAAGTCAATTATAACTTTTTGTCTTTACAACTACTTGAACAAATGTGGTTTGTTTGAAGAAACCATCTACTGCCTACTAATTCATTTAGCTTTCTCTTTCTACGCAGCTTTATCACAGCATGGTGAGGAGGTTGATGGGCAAAAGCAAGCCATATGCTGGCATGTCCGTATTGAGCAACCATTAATAATGATAATTTTGAGTCCCTGCAATGGCTTGGAAGCATGTAGAGAATTTGTATCTAACAATATTACTTCCTTCTGTGGACCTGAACAAAGGGACTGCAAGCTTAACCACCACATATAGGAGCTGAGAGGTGCCTTGTTCTAGAGAGAGATATTTCTGTGTTAAGATGAGGTCCAGATAAAGCAACAGTGTCTCTACAAAGTGTCAGGGTGTTGAAGGTGGTAGCAAGAAACTTGACACTCATGATTACACCAGGTCTTCAGGACAAGCTGCCTTCTGATCACTCATCTCCAGATCCTCTACCCCATGGCAAGTGTAGAAAGCAGGACTGAAGTGATTACCTTTGTACAGTGGTTTGGAAAAAAATTATCAATGTCAGCCCAAACAAGACTTGAAATTGCAGTGAAACGGAGAGTTATGGACAAAGGAACTGTTTGTGTTTCCAGGTCTTCATAGCTGAAGAGTGGAAGTGGTCCTAGTTTGATCCCTTTCTTTATGGCTGACCTATGTGACTTGCAGTAGAAGCAGTTAGCATAACTAGACAGTGAAAAGCACTGTATGCTGAGTAACTGAGATTCCATGGTGTAGTGCATGCAGACAGAAGGAACAGTTAGTCATACAGCATTCTTGTTACTACCAGTTCAGGGTGTTGTATATCGTGGAAAGGGTATTTGATGTTGATGTGCAAAAAGATGTAAAATAAGCTTAGAGTGCAGTATGGACATCATGGATATTTGTCTGTATTGTAATTAAATCCAACTGGTTCAGTAAACTTAATTCTGAAACCAGATGCAAAAAGCAAAACCGGTAGAACTTTAGCATAAACTTTTTCACTGAACTCAGTACATCACTTTTGAACATATGTCACAACTGAAATCAGAGAGGTGCCTCTGGAAGTTATATTTTATTCAGATTTGTATTCGTTTTTGGAGTGGGGAAGAAAAGGAGTGAACAAAACTCATAATAAGAAAGAACACCAGGAATTAAGTAGAGTGAAGGTCCTATTGCTATCAAACCATGGAGAATATGGCCCTAAGACAGGGGAGGGGTAGCAAACAAACCCCAAACTTCAGCATATTGATTTTGTTATTATTCTACTGTAAAAAAAATAGGCTAAAAAATTTTATACGTGTGACATAAGACCCATCAACCATAATCTTAACTGAAATAATTCTCTGAAGTTTATCTAACATCTCAGGTTACAAGTCTGAATATATTTTTTTCTGATCAAATTTTTCCTCTTTCAAATAAGAAAATTCTTGAAAAAAATCTATCTTGAAATGTGTTTTTGCAGCAGATCAATGGGACAGCTAAGATTAATAAGGGTTACAGGACTGAAAAGTGGAGAAGTTGTATAACTGGACAATTACACATTTCTTTGTGTAGGAAGTCAATTACAAAGGTTCTTCTTGATCATTCAGGTTAAAGGGATAACAGAAACAAGAAGACATTAGGACCTTTTAATGATTAATAGTAGCTTTTAAGTATATTTCTGGCACTGTAAAACTAGCTGTTAGCTTCTAATTACTTTGAAGGGTGAAAAGACAGGGAAATGCTTTTCTGTCTTTATCAAACTGCATCAGAGAGAAGAGCACAAAAATGTACCTTTTTTCAAAGATTCACTTCATTACTCTCATTTTCTGTTATTCTTCTGTTATTTTTTACATTTCTCTGGCTGGTGACCACACATTCAGTCTTTGGCAGGCACGTAAGTTCACAGGCTGCCATGTTTACATGGGAGATGAGGGCATATAGGAGTGTGAATATGCCTTAGTGTATCATTTATGTGCAACTGCCTTTTAATAAACCACTTGTTTCTTTCCATGGCTCTGCATATGTACAATATCTGATTCCTGGCATCCAAGACCTGCTGACTACTTTTGCCATTCATAGGCTTCACTTTATTAGCATAAATGAATATTTGCTCAGAATGTGTCTTACCCCCTTAATAATACAAGAGGGAGGGATAAGGGTTAATGGTGCTTTCTTGCAAATACACACAGGGTAAAAGCAATCACTCTGGGATTCGGGAAAACAGAGTTCAGTAGGGATATTGGTGCCAAGGTGTATTTGGTGTAGAAGAAGGCTTGTATTTTTCCTGTGTTCAAGATTCTTACACTGAAAAATACAAGCCAAAGGGTCTTAAAAAATTTTGGGACATTACATTAAAAAAGTGTTATGGAAGAGGAACATGTTATATAATAAAATGTTCTGGGGACTGAATGTTTTATGTTCTGCTATCTGTGAAAATGGGATGTTACCTATTGGAACAAAGCAGAGTAATGTCAGACTCAAATCTGTTCACATGACCTCAGTAGTTATCCCAAACATCTTCAAAAATCTACAAAGAATAGTAATTGTATTCTCAGAATGCTCAACACGTGTGCTTTATTAGATAGTAATCAAATGATTTATTTGGGAAATGAACTGAACTACTAAAAATTATCTTCAATTTTTTTCCTCCCCAGTAAATTAACATATTTGAATATATGTATAAGTATTTAATAGTGGATTTTTAGTGCACTTTTACTTTAATACATGTATGACCCTCTATGCTGTTTTTCTTTCGTTCAATTTTCCAGCTGCCTGCCCGGTTCTGTGCAGTGGCAATGGTCAATACTCTAAAGGCACCTGCTTATGCTACAGTGGCTGGAAAGGTCCAGAATGTGATGTACCCATCAGCCAGTGTATTGATCCCTCATGTGGAGGTCATGGTTCCTGCATTGAAGGGAACTGTGTCTGTTCTGTTGGCTATAAAGGAGAAAACTGTGAAGAGGGTAGGATATTTTCTTTCTATGTTGTGCATTTGTTGTCTGGGTTTTGGAGTTATTTAATGGGTAGGAAAAAAGGAAAGAACAGAATAAAAATTTAAATGTAAAAGTACTGTAGTAGATAATTGTGAAAGAGGGGTAAAAATGTAGTCCATCACAATTTTACTGATCTATCAAAGTTCAGAGAAAACTTCTGGTCTCCAGTATACAATGTTTTGCATTATTAAGAACATCTGCCACAAGTAAACCTGAATAATTCCTTTGTTGAAGAGTGAAGATAAATCTTTTCTTATGGATTATATTTATTGAACATTTTAGATGTGAAATGGAGAGAAAAAAGGAGCAGCAGTAGACAAAACTATAACTGCAGCTCCACACAAAGCAAACATACCAGTCACTAGTAAGACAGAAGTTGATGAAACAAATTTGAAAGACTTGAGTATTCATGTTACTTACACACTTAATATAGGGCAAATTACTCCTGTCAGCTGCAATCATGGGATTAAAGAAAGGTGTATGACGCACGCAGACAATAACTGTCCTTTAAATGCAGAAAAGCCCTTCATGTTGAAAGTGTCCAATTCCTTGTGTATGTAGAATGAGCAAATTTAACGCAACAGCGCATGCAAAGCTTGATACTGCTTTTATTCACGGTGTTTTCTGTTAGAATGCACAACATAAATTGGACTGCATTTCTTTTTTAAAATATATTAGTATGGTTTTAAAAGGGAGTGTAACTCCCCAGACAATTGCTAAATAGGCAGTTCAGCATACCTTGGCACATCCTCAGAGCAGTAATAGTTCAAGTTACTTTATGATGACATTCCAGAGTTTCTTAATCCTCCAGAAGGAGGAGCAGTTTGAGGACTAAAGTGATAGGACTGAAGCTGCATGGTTTTAGGACTAAAGAGTCTCTATGGACTATTTTGAGTACAGTGCAGAGCTGTTCACTCTGTGTTTCAATTTTTATCTTACCCTATAGTAAATAGCTGTTTCTCCCATTAGAAAACAAAGGGTAGAAAACTGTGGGATCCTAAACCACTAAGGATTTCATTCTTTGGGCAGGAACTGCAGTCATCCCTTTAGGACAAGATCTGGCGTTAGTCCGAGTAACTTACTTTGCTAAAAGCAAAAAAAAAGCAAGGATCCCCACTAGAGGGACTGCGAACACTGCAACTGTTTGTTCAGTTCCTTCCTGTCATCTCCTTCCAGGAAAGGTTCACAGCGTTAGCTATTAAAGCTCTAATCCAGAACTCAATTGAAGTCAGTAGAGTTTTTCCATTGTTTTTAATGGGTTCCATTTTAAGCTATATCCAGAAAATTCTGTAATGTCCTTTTTGTCTGCTAGAATTGATAGTTCTCTGTTCACTCTTGAGGGTATGATTATAGGAAATAATCAAAAATGACCTGAAATGATTTGCTATAGCTAGCACTCTCACTGAAATCAAAGATGGAAAAGACTTGTCTTTAGGCTGCTCTACAACAGCCAGTCTATTCCCCAGGAATGCAGAAGCTCTCTTTCTCATACTAACTGTAATTGTTTGCTTAGTCTAATTAGGTTATATACATTTTATCATGTTTTGTGTTGTTGTATAAATGCTTGTATTATTAGAGAGACTATGGTAGGTGGCCTAAAACTATCTTTCTTTAATTTGATTCTGTAAAATTTACCTTGTAGGTAGTTCCTCCCTCATCTTGACTGTAATTTCCAACTACTTACATGGAATTCTCTCTCTGCTTCCAGTTGTCTAGAATGGCTGTGGTACATCTTGGTTAGACATCTCAAATCCCCTATAAGCACTCCTATAAGGGAAATAGGCTCTTGTAGTAGCTAATTCAGCTTATCCTAAGGTGAATGTTTGAAATAGCTGAAACAAACACATTTCAAACTCCAGAGAAGTTTATAGAACAACCTAGCGCGTATCTTTTTGCAAAAGTGTTAATGTTAACACCATTCCAAGTTGGAAACACTATGAAACATTGTCAGTCAACAGTTTTTGGGGATGTGAATTACTATGTGAGGTGAAAGGATATGCATTATTTAATCAACACTGTGCTTGAAAGTATAAGTTTTTTCTTAAAAAGATAACTGGATTACAAAGGCAGGAGGTATTGACTGCAAGCTTGGAAGGGGCCAATAACATGACAAGAAAAGTTAAAATAACTTTTTGCATACATCATTGAGCAATAAGTCAATAAATTAATTTTAAAATAAATAAAAACCAACCATCATGTTTCTACTGTAAAATTCCTTTTCTTCTGTACATATTTCTCACATTAATTCAAGAGCTATGGGAAAAAGGGATATGAAGTGGTGTCTCTCCAGTTGCAGATAATCATCTGGTCTTATTTAAAAGTTTTTGCATTAATTAAAATTCTACCATTCTAATGGTAGAATGATACAAATAAGTATATCTGTATTTATATATAATATATGAAATCTCCTCTATTGATTTGAGCCTCCAAAAGGAGTGGTGAAGGTTAATTCATTCACCATTTTCCAACTAGTATATTGAATTAGAACAAGTGGGTCAGCATTTTTCTCTTCCTGTTAACTTTTTATTTCTAATATTCATCACAGTCATATTGTTCAAACAATTTACCCGAAATGAAAGTGGCACCAAAATCAATATTTGTGATGCACAATTTTTGCAGCATAAACATTGTTGTTCTATTAACAAATTTGCACACAAGATGAAGTGGCATATTTGTCAGGTTTCATTCAATCTGGTTTGGGGGGAGACAAGTGAAATTGCCAAATCAGGTTAAGTTAAGGGTGGTTTTCTTGTCAGCTTCATGGTTGAGTCATTTTTCAATGCCATTTAAGTTCATAAGTGTAATTCATGGCTCTTTGGGGGCTTTACGGTACGTATTGTTCATAAAACTCCTTGACCTCCTTTTTTGTCCTTAGGGATATAAATTGCTTTCAGTACCTTTTCTGTCAGATCTACAGAGGGCCCAATACTAAATGAGCTCTAATGATCTGAGCTGCCAAGGGGCTGTGAGTTCCAAGTCTAATGTACTTACTTGCTAAGGCACGTTCTCCTTTGTTTAAACACTAAAGAAGTTCCATTTATAAATCCTTATTACCATTACCATTGTAAAACCTTCTAAAGACTTGAGGACAGAACCTTTGCAGCATAAGTCAGTGCAGTTCATTGCAGGTAATCATGTTATGCTAATTTTAGCAGCTGAGGATCTGGCCCGAGATGATAACTTTAAGAGCATGTATTAAAATAGAACAAGATTTGAGTTCAAAGTAAAAACTCTCTTCAATTTAAACTTTGAAAGCTATTACTTACCCATATGATAGAATAAAACAGCTATAAGGTATATTTGTCTAGAACAAAGTACAAAGGTGGTTAGTGTGTTATTCTATAAAACAAGGGAGATTGGGGGTTTAGGAGTATTATTCTCTAGAAATAAGTCTCAGCAGCATGCATACTGTGATTCAGGATAGAGGAAAGATAGTTAATTTATCTAGCAGAAGGTGGTGTTTTTCATATGCTTCACATTGCTTTCATTAGTACTTTCATTTGGGAAGGAAGATGATGCATTTCTGACATGGAGAGTACATTAGGACTCATCAGTATCTCCTGACGTTAGCTGCCCTGCCGCATGCAATGTTATACACATGTTACCCTTTTAAATTTTACATTAAAAGATCATCATCTAAAAAAAATAGAATAGCCCAAATATAAGGGGGAAAAAGTAACCTTCATCATAACAGTAAATTAATGTAAATCTTTGTGTTCTTTATTTCTTTATTCAGTCAGATTGTTTTATCACAGCTCTGTGTCTTTTGGGTTCAACAGAAATAGTATGAAAGACATATTCTAAACTTTGTTAATTTTGTTAAGCACCAAGAAGGAATAACAGTATAGGGCAAGCGTTCTGTATAATTTTAGAACATTTTATGAATTTATAAAATCTTACCCGAACTGAACGACAAAACAATCTTGGTTTGCCTATAAATAAAACCACATTATAATATTTTCATGTCAATTAACTAAGTATTAAATCTTAAAGAAAAGAAAAAAACTCTAGCTAGTGTCATCATTAAAATGGAAATCTTAGTAAAGAAATTTTATAGTAATTTATTCCTGTACTACTATAATCTGAATTAAAATCAAAAGTATTCTGATAACTCATGTTATTGCATCTCTAAATGTGCCTGCCTCAATCACCTGTGTTGTATCTAATCTATGTACTTACTTTAAATGTTCTGCAACTACATAAAATAATTTGACAAGACTCTAGGTTTATAGAAAAGTTGAGATTTGAAAGATCAAGTATTGTTCACATAAGGTAGAGTGAAAATGTCTCTGCCTTAATTTAGAAGGATCGATTTGGAAAAGATGAGAGATAAATCGCTTTTATTATAAACTCAGATCTTCCTAGAGCTGCAGGAGAGAATGCCAATCATTCTTCATCCTTCTGTTGTGAGCTAATATATACCAGTCATGAGATGAATTCATTTGATTTAGGACATGAATTTGACCTTGGCCCTCAATCCACAGCAAAAGGCAGCTGGTAAAACCTCCATATTGATATTTGCAGTAGAGCATAGTATACTTATACAAATTCATGATATAAGATAAAAATCTGCGAAACTATAACGTTACTGATAGCATTTATTTGAAAGACAGCTCATAACATTCCTTATTTATCAGGATTAAAATAGCAACTGAAATTTCATTGGATAATTTTCCATCATAACTATTTTCACTTTTTTATTCTGTTGTTTCTGGATTGAGAAAAGACAAAATCTATATCTGTCTCTGTTTTTCTATATTTCTTTAAGAGGAATTATTTACTGGTTAGAATATGGGTTGAAGTAACTAGAATTCTCAGCTTCACAGCTCAGATACTAATGGAGCATGAATCAAATGTTCAGAATAATATAGGAGTCTAAGTGAAGCTGAAAGCCACTGATACTTTGACTTCTGGGTACTTAAAGTGGATATCATAATGTTTTCACAATGCTCTAGCATTTCAATTGTAATAATAGCAGTATTGATGAAGATACTCCAAAGAAAAGTATCCTTCAAAATGTGCAATTTATTAAGTTATTTTTTTTATTTTGTTATTTAAATATAGTACACGAGTCATTGGAACTTCAATGTATTTCAGAAGAAACGTCCCTAGGTGAAGGCCTATGTGTGGAACTCTTATTATATGTATTTGTTATTTTTAAGTCCTTGTGCTTCTTCACTACAGCATTCCTGAAGTAAGCTTGCACTGTTCTCTCACACCCTGTTTTATTTGGAGCTAATATAAAGCACAAATTACTTTGCTCTTTCCCATTCTGAGACCAGGTGTTAATATGACTTGAAGAACTACATCAGCATGCTTGCTTTATGCCAGTGATATAAACTTTTCAGAGCACACATCTACATGTTTTCCAAACATTATATTGTGTGACCTGACTTTTCTGTACATTGGTTTTGTTCTTTAGTGGATTGCTTAGATCCAACCTGCTCCAGCCACGGAGTCTGTGTGAATGGAGAATGTCTCTGCAGCCCGGGTTGGGGTGGAATAAATTGTGAGCTTCCCAGAGCCCAGTGTCCAGACCAGTGCAGTGGGCATGGTACCTACCTGTCTGACACAGGTCTTTGTAGCTGTGACCCCAACTGGATGGGTCCCGACTGCTCCGTTGGTAAGAAGAATATTTTTTCCTGATTTTGCAATAATGATCCTATTTAATTAAAATGTTAATATCTATGGCAAGTTTGAAATACAAATCATTTAGAAAATTGTCTTTGGAACACGTTCGGTCCTGTTTAGTTATGATGGGAAGAAGTGCGTATCTTTCTTCGATACCATTTTTGTGACATTCTTAATTTGGGACTCCCAGCTGGGGGGTGAGGGGGGATGCAGGTTAGGAGTTTGTATTTTGTTCTGATACTGACCATCCTCTGGACTGAAAAAGTTACTTAAGTGCTTCACATTTGTAAATAAAAATTTCCATAATTTATAAATATGTTTATAACATTTGGGGAATGGAAAACACTACAGTTAAGTACATTTTTGGAGTTTACTGCATGTTAAAATGCTACTCATTTATGAAAAACATGACAAAAGAGAAAAATCTATTTTCAAATAAAGGATATTTTACTCTTTTCAGTTGTACATGGAATATTTGCCAAAAAAATGGTTTTAGCGCAAGAGACACTAAACAGCAGGCACAAATGTGTAGGCTGAAAAATTTCATCCTATCCAAAGTTACAGTTGTAAAACTTGATTATTCTAACAGAAGGAGCTAAAGAGAAAAAAAAATGACAAGATAGCAAATATTCTATTTGTGGGGAAAAAATACTGGGAATTTTGCATTTATATTGTAAGCTGAACCTTGAGACAAAGCTGTAGGCCATAAGCAAGTCTCTCAAAGTACTAATTAAAGTTTTTGCACTTAGTCAGTTATTTCTCAAGATTCATGACTTAGAATACCCCACCAGTGAAATGAATATCATATGTGTTTTTTCTGCTTCATGCATCACCAGGCAGAAAAATTCATGAATGAGTTTCACTGTCGGTTTCTTTGATGATGCACAAGGCAAAAGACCCCTCTGCTCTTCTACAGCTTCAGTTGGCAGAGAGCAGTAGAAGAATTTTTGGGGTGAGACACAGGATAACTGACCATGTTAGTAACAAGATTCCAAAATCTCTTCCTTAAACATGTCTTTTAGTTGTCACTCCAAGAGTCTAAGTGACCCTGAATTGTCACCATTCTCTGCTGAATGGGTTTTAGGTGAGTTTTAGTGTCATTCTTGGCAAATTGTAGTCTGTATCAAAATCACCAAAGGTCCAGGTTTGAGTAAAACAGAGCTATGTGCTCCCCTTCTGCACTGCTGAGAGGTGTTGAGGAAGCTACCTCTCAAACTTGGGTGTATCTGAATAGAGAATGCAGCAATACAGCAGTCTGTCCAGCATACGTTAGCAGATTTTTCTTAAACAACTTTTAAATATAGATTAGTTTGTTTTTAAGCAAAAGTTAAATGCTAGTTTTGATCATAACATGAACAGCTTTTGACAGCATATAGTTTTCAGCAAAAGCATACCTGTCCTACTCACTTTTCCCTTGATGGCTAAGATTGCTGCTTCTGCCCCATGGCTGCTGGCACGAGCTAGCTATAACCTTTATTCTTTTCTCCTCCTAGAAGTGTGCTCTGTAGACTGTGGTACTCACGGCGTGTGCATTGGCGGAGCATGTCGCTGTGAAGAAGGGTGGACAGGAGTGGCGTGTGACCAGCGTGTGTGCCATCCCCGTTGTACCGAGCACGGAACTTGTAAAGATGGGAAATGTGAATGCAGAGAGGGCTGGAATGGGGAGCACTGCACCATTGGTAGGCAAACGACAGGCACCGAAACAGGCACATATTGCTTTCTTTTCATAAATCGTAGAAACATAGTTACTGTTGTGTATTGTAACAGGCTGTTCCTTTAAGGACCCTAGTGCTTTCAAATATTATCTCTGACTCAAAATGTGTTGGGTGAAAGCAGGTGAGCTCTTGGAATCAATTGCAATCAGTAACAAACTGATTTGTAGCGAGGAAAAAAAAAATTCCACAGCAAATGAACTTTAGTAAATAAAGATGTAATAAATGGTCCATCATGGTATCATCTGAGCCAAGATTTTCAAACTTAACTAAACATTCCTTTGTGTGAATGGCATCTTTTTTAATTTCCTGGTCTGATGCATCAGCGCTCTCCTGCTATTATACATCACATCTGAAACACATCACCACCATCACCACACAGAGCAGGGGTCAAGTTGTGAAGGAATAAGTGTTCCTGGTGTTACAGAAATAGCTCCCTGGCATTCTCCTGTGTTGTGCTGTGACAGTGGGCATGGTGTTTGCATATAGACAATCCCAGCATGGGAGGGCCCCATCAGTAGTGCAGCATGCTGCTGTACCCTTTCCTAATAGCATGCTGCTCACTCCAGTATTGGCATCACGCAGAGTGCCGCGACTAACACGATTGTATCTCAGCTGTGATGTGTCAGCCTGGGAAGTTCAAAAAGGTTATACTTACACAAAGCTATGATGTTTTAACCTCTCAGTTACCGTATTTGAAAAGTTATTCTGAAGAGGAATTAATTGTTCCTAAATGAAATTCATTATTTTGTCTCTACAAGCAGTCAGGTATTTGGATCATTTTGTGAAGTTACTGAAAACAAAGGAAAATATTGTTATTTTCTCTATGCTGTAGTCAAAAATGGGAAATTCTGAGTGGTCACATCGCTTCTGAGAAGCCTGAGCAAAACTCTCCGGAACAAGAGTATCCAACTGCTGAGACAATGTGAGATTCAGGTTAGAGTATTTTTCTCCAAAGAATTTTTGGAGGACTGAGAGGTATACCTTAGAAGAAACCTAGTGAATCCAAATCCAAGGTCATATTGTTTTAATTTTCTTAAAGTGAAACAAAGAAATTTAACAAAGAAAAGGAGTAGGTCAATTGAGATTTTCATGGCAATCAGGGACCCTAACGGGACAGTCCTATTACAAGTGAATTGTTATTTCTTTACTTAAAAGTATGGTGAGATTCTTGCATCCCTCAAGCTGTTTTTCTTTTTCATTCCCCTCTGATTTCTCCCTGGATATACAAACCATTTCTGATACACACATGTGTTGGAAACTAAAAGTATGCTCTTTTTGGAGAGAAGAAAAAAATAAAATGGGGCATATCCTTTGATGTTGTGGTGCTGCATGCTTCCACCACACTATGCTAATATGATTTACATCAAAGCTTTTATGACTGAACACTTTGTCACCAGCATAGATGCAGAGTGTTTTTTCACAATTGCTTTCTGACTTCCATCATATCAACATATCTCTGCTAGATTAATCCAGGCATTTTGTTTTCATATTAAGTTCTTCCTAGATCCTTACAAAATGCCAAGTATATATATTTTTTTTTGCATTAATTGTATAAGTGCTTATTTTAAGTTACTGCTTTGTGCAAAAATTGTTTTGCTTTGTAATCTTTTTTTAATATGCCTATGTTTAGAGATAATTAGTGTATTTAAAATCTTCATTACTGTGCACACAAAAAGATGCCTTGTACTCATAGCTTTAAACAGTTCTGAAAATTACAAGCTGAACTATGAATTCTAAAAATTACAAGCTGAACTACTGAACTCTGAAGTGAGATTTTTAGTCCAATTTTCAGAGCAGTGAAATAAATATTTTCCCTATTATTGATGTATATAATCAATTCTTCTTTTCAGAGATAAGTTGATACTGCTGAAGTGATTAAAATATGCATAAGCTTTTTTTGTTTGGTATGTATTAGAAAGATTTCCTTGAAACCTAATGTGGGTCTGCCTGCAGCAAAGATGAGACCAGTGCAAAAAAATTAGGTTCGTCCTTGTAGTTATTGTATATTTAAATTTATGCAGTCATGAGTTGCCTGTTTTATGTAGGCAGATATATATTCCTGTGACAGGCCTGTATTAGTCAGAGTTTTCATATACTCATATAATGAGGCTTGATTGTGAGGCCATTTACAAAAGCAAAAAGCGTGATGCCAGAATTCAGTTCAGAGGGACAGCTCAGCTTGATCCCACTGGTTTGTGTTATGTGGGGTTGAAACAGAGAGGGAGTTTGGAGGGTAAGGATCATAGAACTAATTTTTGTCAGTATTTGTACAAAAAAACCTAGAAGTTACCACTGGAAAATTTGTCCTTAGAGTGGACTGATACTTTGGAACAAGGATGAGTTGCTCAAGATGCTCCACCTAAAAAAATAATATTCAGGAATGCAAATATGATGTATTCAAACCTTGATTTTTATTTCTTTTTTAATTTTTTTTAAATACGAAGCCATTTGTTTAGTACTGTTTGGAAGTTACCTGGCAAACTGGACAGTCTATTTGTCCTAAGGCAAAGCCAGGCCAGACCAGAGTAAGACAGCATATGAGCAGAGGTTGAATCTCCCCCTTCGCTGTACATAGTTTGAATTTTTGAATACTCGTATTAGATTTTCAAGCACAATGAATGGACAGGGTTACCTCCCAAAACATTTGCGAATTTCTCCATATGGACTTCAAGCAGAAAAATGTGAATCTCATACATAGGAGAGTTTATTTACTCTGAATTTCCTTTCATTGCTACACCTAGTCTGAAATCTCTTGAAGTCAGTAGAAAAACTTGCTTTGATTCCACTGCCTTTAGGCCAAGCCTACTTAGAACAAATTGATCTAATTTGTGAAAAAAAAATCCCAGGTTTCTATATACAAACCAAAATACATTTTCTTTTGTTCATGTTTCTTTACCAGTTTCATGTGCTATATCCACATGGCAGTGGAAAAGAAATCTTTATAGCAACCTGCAGGTATTCAAGTTAATTCAGGGTATTTTATTCTATTTAATATCAAATTAGACCTTTATAGATAGTTGACAGAATGCACACTCTTTGGCATTTCAGTGTTGAGTATCTAAGCTCAAAAAAGTTAACAAAAATGCAGTTTTTTTCCTCATTGCCCTTATTCTAAGGAAAGAACTCTGCGAAGTCCCCAAAATACCACTATTAGCTCAGTATTAGCAAGCTGTTTGTGCAAAGCAGCTTTTATTTATGTGCAGCAATAGAATTCCATATAAAAATCAGTGAATGCAAATTCCAGGTTACACAGATTTTAATAAATCTATATCCAAATAATATAAAAATGAAAAGAGTGGTGTCTGGCCTTGCTCAAATGCTGTATGTAGCAGAGCAGAACTCTACACCAGGTACTATATTTCACTTTGCTACTTCAGGTAAGAAGGAAAATTGTCACTGAAGTGATGATGAAGAGAATGAATCTTTTCCCAGTGCAAAAATAGACCTGTCAGGATATGTTTATTAAGTGATTACTATTCATTGATTGCAATTATGAAGGAAGTTATAACTAAATAATAGAAGGTAATCTAGGTGAGGAAAAAAATATTGGAAAACTAATAACAAAGCAGAAGACTAAGATACAGCAGTTGCTAAATTTTGAAGCCATTTCATGCCAGAATTGGAGGATTTAACTTTTCCTTGAATCATCTGAGTGCTGTTAAAGCATGCTGTTATAAAACAGAACTCTTACTTTCACTGAAAATAATATTCAAATATTTAAAACTGTTGGTTTTAAACTGTTGTGATCAGTGTTCTCCTACAAACTATCAGGACTCTATAGCAAGGACAGTGTGATATATATGGAGATCTTAAGAAACAGTGAAAAATACCCTTTTTAAAGCATAATTCCACCTGTAATTCATATCCCTGCAGCATGAAATGTGACTGTTATTAGGTCATTGGTAAAAATCTCATTGAGAGACCAGTGAAACTAGGATTTAATCCTAAACGTTTATGAGTAAAATCTAAAACTCTGCAAACATATTTTATCTGTAAGGTAAGCTCTCACCAGATGATATATGAGGTTTTCTTTGTGGCAGTCTGTCATATTCCCACATTAGATGTAGGTTAAGCGCTCCTGCTTTCAGACAGAGAGTGGCAAAAGGTTGTAGTACAAGGTATTGGATAATACAGATACTCTGCTGCAGATTTTGATCGAGACAATTCTTATCTTCTCTGTTCCTTTTTTTTTTTCCTCTTTTCAATGCAAATAAGCTGTACCCCGTTTGACAGCCATAGAACCTGAGCCTCCAGCTACCTACCTGCTAGGCAGAACACAAGCAGGGATGATGTGTGCGTCTCCGCAGACTCTGCTTCCTGCCCTTGGCACTGCTTTTCAGAATCTTAACTGCAGAGGTGGGGATCTGACACTCCCTTTCCTCCACCAAGTCCTTGGCCTCTGTACTGAAAATATCAAATGGTAGGACATGTTCCTTAGCAAATAACAGATTTGGAAAACTGTATTAGCCCTATACCTTGTCTTCTATGTTTTCATGGCCTTGAATAAAGAAAGATTTGAAAGAACCACGATTCTGTTACCTACATGGTGGCAAATAACCTAAAATTTTGAGTTACATAAAAATGTGCAGGAAAAAGAGAGGACTCTGTGTCTGGGGTGGTTAAGATAAGAAGTTTAAGTAACAGTACGGGAGATTTGGGTTAGGTGTTAGGAAAAAAACATGTAACAGTAAATGAAAAACTGAAGTAGATTGTCTAAGGAAGTCGTGGAATCCTCATCAATGGAGCTTTTAACAACAGTTTAGACAAATATCTGTCAGGAATAGCAGAGAGGTAATTCATCCTGCCATGGGGCAGAAAGCTCACTAGAAATCATTGAGTGACATGAGCTCTCTTCCCTGATTTTAAATGAGTTTAAAAGGAAGCATTCCTTCTAAGCACCTTATTTTATAATGGCCTTTAAAAATCTAATGCTGCTCTTAGAAGTAGAATTGATCATTTATCCAAACAAAGAGACTAATCAGTGTGTTCAGTATTTGCAGAACAATGGATTGTCAATGTGTATATTGAGCCACTCTGAAACATCCAAACAAAGAGCAAATATTAC